GTCATTGTGTCTTCCAGAGAGATGGGCCTGAGCTTGTGGACAGGGCATCCCTGCCACCAGGCACTGATGGGACATCACCACTATCATAAACTGACTTCTCCAACGTTCACCTGACATTTCAATTGCTGGCAGGAGCCCAAGTTTAGCTTCCACATGGTGACTGAGGAAAAGACAAATTGAGTTTCCTCTTGTTCCTTATGAATCTGGCCACCATATCATTGTTTATTTGCCTTCTAGATGTCTTCAATAAACTTCACGTGTGTGCACCTGATTTGCAATGATCTATTTTAGTGGGAATCAAATCCAGGGCCTGCCCATGCAAAGCAGCATGCCACCTTCCTCCCTTGGGCTCCAATGACCTGACAGAAAGCCCACTGCTGGCTTTGAGCCTCTGTCAGTGGGACACAGGCCTTGCCCTCTGCAGCCGTCTGCCCAGAGTCTGGAGGTTCACCGCCGGGGTCCACAGTACAGATAGCCAAGAGCAGCTTTCCCAGCACTGGTCGAGGGCGGGTTGGGGGCCACGTGAGTTAGATGAAGCAGTCAGTGACCGCAAACAGGGCAAGGTCATGAGGGGTAGCAGGCAGGTGGAGAAGGTCTGGGTCTGCCCCTGGGCTGTGGGGAGGTTCCGGATGGCGGTGAAAATACGGATGTGGGAGACAGGCAGGCATTCTCCCTCATGCTGGCCCCCCACCCTGAGGGGATGGGGGCCGGAAGCCTCCGCAGGGAGAAGAGTTTGCAGAAAACCTGGGGTTCCATGGGGGCTGGAAAGGTGCAAGCCATGGACAAGGCTCCAAGGAGCCCACCAGAGGCCCAGGACACGCTGACCATCTAGGTGCAGGTGCCGGCATGCATGACATGGCCGTGAGCACAGAGAGCTGACTGGCAGAGAAGGTCGTGGGCAGCAGTTGCAGGGTGCGCCCCAGGGTGGACTCGGGGCTGGCATGGCCAACAAGTTCGGGGGTGGGCATGGACAGAGAGAGGACGTGCAGGCATGACATGGGGTACGCTGGTGCAAGTGATGGCGAGGAAGTTAGCCGCGAACACTGTCAGGTAGATGGCCAGGGAGAGCCCGCTGAAGAACATCTGTAGCTCCTGGGCATCCACCAGCCCCACCAGGAGGAAGCCCATCCCCTGAGGGACGCTGGCCATGCAGCTGGCCCTATGCCCTGTCCTCCCTCTGCCTCCAATCTGTCCCCTTCCATCCCTCTCCCACTCTGTAGCCCCCTCTCCCTCTCTTTGTTCCCCCATTCTACCTCTCCCTTTCTCTGTCCTTCTCTCTCCATCCTCCCTGTCCCTCCCTCCTCTGTCCTCTTCCTGCCCTCCCCCTGTTCCCTTCCCTCCCTCCCTCCCTCCCTCCCTCCCTCCCTCCCTCTGGCTCCTTCTTCCATCCCTCCTGCTCTCCATCTCTGTCCCCCTCCCTCCATCTCTGTGCCCCTCCCTCCATTTGTCCCCCTCCCTCTGTCTCTATGTCCCTGTCCCTCCCTCCTTCTCCTCTCTCCATCCTTCTCTCTTTCCCTTCCTTTCCTCTCTCTTTCCTGTCCATCCCCTTCACCCTGCCCTGGGGGGGCAGTGTGTGTGACTCAGGGGACTCCCCACTAGTCTTTAGCTGCAGCAGCTCCTGGGGCGTAGCTGACCCGTCCCACCTGAGTGGCCTCACGTCTGCCCCATCATAGGGGAGTTGGCAGCAGCCCGTGAAACAGCTGCACTCAGCTCAGACAGCTGCTGATGGCAGGCACACATGTGCTGACAGCGCATCTGCTCTGCTGGGCTAGGGTTCGAGCCGCCTGCTGCTGGGGCTGCAGGCCCAGTTGCTCGCACCTGCACATGCCCATGGCCTCTCCCTCAAGCACCTGGGCCTCATCTCTGCCACTGTGCCCAGGCCCATCGCCGACTGCTCAGCCTATCAGACTTTGTCCTCTTCTCAGGCTGTGCAGCTCTTCCTGGTTATCCTGATGGGTGACTGTGAAGTGGGCATCCTCACGGTCATGTCCTATGACCACTACATGGCCACTTGCCGCCCACTGCACTCTGAGGCCATCCTGAGCCACGTGCCCTGGCTCAGAGGTGGGGTCCGGCAGCTCTTCTGTGATGTGTCCACCTGCTGAAGCTCTCTTGCTCCGAGGCGCACCTGGCCTCAATGTCAGCGTGGCCCTCAGCGTGTGCTGCGGCTTCTCCTGCCTTGTGTGTGTGGGGCTGCCCTACACGCCCATTTTCTCCACAGAAGCAAGCCGCAGACTTCTCCACCTGCTTGCACCTGGCCATGAGGGCACCTTCCAGTTCACGGGCACAGCTGGGCCTGGGGGTGTCTCTGTTCTACTCTGCGGTGCCCCCATGGTGAGCCCTGTCATCTACGGCCTGGCCTGCGAATCAGGGACAGCCACTCAGTTCAGGGGAGTGAGCTGAGCACTTGCTACGGCAAGTGCGAGGCAGGTGAGAAAGGAGGGGCGCGGAGGGTCCTGAGCTCTTCCTCTCACCTGGGTGGGCTTCACTCGCATCCTCCCTCAAACAGGTCTATGGGCATTTCCTTTGCTTTGCTAATGTTTTCACACTGAGTCTTTCCCATCTATATTTACATGTTTACTTATTTACAGCTTCTGGTTTTCAATGTCTGGCGTACGTGATCATTTTAACTTAACTTCACAGTGATAAAGAACAAGACAGTCAGGACCAGAAAGACCGTATAGCAGGAAGGGCACTTATCTTGCACGTGGCTAACATGGGTTAGATCACCAGCACTCTACAGAGACTCTCCAGGAGAGATCCCTGAGCATGAAGCCAGGAGTAAGGCCTGAGCACTCCTCAAAAGAACACTGAAAAAAAATCAAATACTGGAAACCAAATCCAAAAAGCTAATTAAAATAACAATAAAATGAAGATAAAATGACTGAAAATGACACAGATCAGTGGACCATCGAAAGAGCAGCAGCTGATGTTCAACCACAACATGGCTTTTGGGATCCAAGTCTCACCTCCGACAGCTGGCGCCTGGTGGCAGGTCTGGGTCCTCAGCTGAAGAGGGCCACCCCCTCTGGCCTCCTCTCTCTGCATGTGTCTGGGGCTCTGCTGCTCCCCCGCAGCACCGGTGAGCTGGGCAGGGCGCAGCATCTGGACCACGGCTGCTTCTCATGGGCCTCGGGACAGCCACGAGTCTGTGGAAGGAGGCTGCCGTGAATGGGCTGTGGGTCTCTCAAAGGGTTCCTGGCAGTGAGACAGGACAGAGGAAGACAAACACGGATGATCTTACTCCAACGTGGAGAAGGAAAGGAAGCAAATGAACAAAACATCAGACCCTGAGAGGAGACTGGGGGTGCCGCGAGGGAGGGAGGCAGGGAAGGGGTGGGTGGAAATGAGCGTTAGGTGTTGCTGGGAACTCATGCAGGTGATGCAGCTGTGCCTGAAGCCGACATCCTGTGATAAACCAAGGCTGCTTCGGCGGCAATAAAGGCCTTTCAGCCTCGTGTGGGTTCCACTCTGGGGAGTGCTGTTCAATCTGGGGGAGTGAATGATCTAGCTTTTCCCATCGGGGTGAACCCTGCATTGTGCTTTCTTCAGTTCCAGTTCCACCGGCCACTCCCTGGGGCCCCGGCGTCCATTTCCCTGTCTGTTCCTATGCCTGGCTGCAGAGTCTGTCCTGTCACCCGACCCACTGATTCAGCGTGCATTTCTCACGCGTGGGTCTACACATGGAGACATATAACCCACACGCACACACATGAGAACTGCCCCAGCATACACACGTGAGCATGTATGACACAGGCTGGTTCCAGAGAGGGGGATGGGGTCAGCAGCAGGACACCCTTGAGCTCTTGTGTGGTGCAAGAGAGGGGCAGCTCCCAGACTTGCGGAGAGCAACTCTCCCCGGGGCATGTGGCTGCTGGGGGGCTGGAGGGGAGGCCTGTCTAGCCTTCAACCACAATGCCAGAGCTTCTCTGTGGACCCTCACGCCTGCGCATATAGACCCCCAAAGGGAGGAGGGGGTGCTCAGAGCCTGAAACCCTTCAGAGCCCAGGCCACAGAGTGGGGGGCAATACTCCCTTTTTATTTTTGGTTTGGAGGCTACCCTGGCTGTGCTCAGGGCTTACTCCTGCTCTGAAGCTCAGGGACTGGTCCTGGTGGCTAGGCAGGGTGGGGGTGGGGCATATGGGATGCTGTGCTTGAAGCAAATGACCCCCTTCCCCCCGCACTTTGTTTTCGAAGGAGACTTTATTGAGCTGTGTATGATCAAGATGGCTGGGCAGTGGTGCACAGATGTGACTGGCACACAGGAAGGGGCTCAGTGACCCCTTGGGCACACATCACAGCATTTCCTTTCACGGAGGGACAAACTCGATCTGGGCCTGGAGATAAGCCCTTCATGATGCAGGACTATTTCCTATGGTGCTATGCCATGACGAACACCACACCTGGGCCCCGCCACAGCCGGGCCCAGACACGCTCACCCTTGCTGTGTATTTCTAATGGTCTGGGGAGGAACATGGTGGAATGATGCAGCTGGCTGTGAGGTGGACACAACACAGGTCTAAGTTTTTTCTCACTGACCAGAGTAGGAGATGATGGATAGCAACATGCCTTGCCCACGTCACTTCAGACTCAGCCACTGCCAGGGAAGGACAGAGCACAGTGACAAGGAAGTGGGTCCCACCCCGTACACACACACACACACACACACACACACACACACACACACACACACAGAGCGATCTGATGCTTCTTTAAGAAAGCCAGAGGAGACCAAGTGTGCCATGTGGCAGGTCAGGAAACAGTAAGCAAGCAGTCTCTGCACTGGAGCTCTGCTGGGCTGTGACTTTTTTTATTGCATGAAACCTATCTGCTAGAGTGAAGAGGGTAAGACAAACTCAAGGGCAAGTGCTGTGGGACAAGGCTCCGGGTAGGAAGCTGGAGCTTCGTTAAACCTGGGCGCTGTGCTACCCACCCGCCCTGCCTTGCCCCACTGAGCAGCCAACGAAATGTATGTGTCCAGCCTGACTTCACAGGGCACGTCAGTGTGCCCATGTCCACCCAGGCACGTCCCCCCTGACTTTCCACAGCAGCCTCCTCAGTGCCGCCTTCATGTCCTTGTTCCTCAGGCTGTAGATAAGGGGGTTTAGGGAAGGCGGCAGCACCGCATATAGCACGGAGAGGAGTAGGTCCAGAAAAGACGGGGAGTCAGGCACGGGCTTCAGGTAGGCAGCGGCTCCAGTCAGGAGAAAGGTGGAGACGACGGCCAGATGGGGCAGGCAGGTGGAGAAGGCCTTGGAGCGGCCCTGACTGGCAGCCGTGCTCAGCACCGCCCTGAAGATGTACGCATATGAGCAGGTGATGGCCAGCAGGCAGAGGAAGCCGTAGAGCACTCCTGCCGCCACGCTGACGCTGATGGCCATGTGGTCAGCCGAGCAGGAGATCTTTAGCAGGGCCGGGACGTCACAGAAGAACTGGGGGACCCTCCTAGAGCCGCAGAAAGACAGGGAGAAGGTGCCGCCCGCGTACAGGCTCCCGAACAGGCCCCCCAGGCCCCAGGAGGCCACGGCAAAGCGCACGCACAGGGCCCTGCCCATGATGATCTCATAGTGCAGCGGGTGGCAGATGGCCACGTAGCGGTCGTACGCCATGGCCGTGAGCAGGAAGAGCTCGGAGCCCGCAAAGTGGATGACCAGCAGCACCTGCAGCAGGCAGCCGGCCCACGGGATGGAGCTGCGGTGCGAGAAGGAGCTGGCGACGAGCCGGGGCACGGTGACGGAGATGAGGCCGGCGTCCAGCAGGGACAGGTGCTTCAGGAAGAAGTACATGGGCGTGTGCAGGCAGTGGTCCAGGCTGACCAGCAGGACGATGAGCAGGTTGCCCAGGAGCGAGCCCAGGTAGATGAGCAGGAACAGGGCTCCGTGCAGCCACTGCAGCTCCCGGGAGGCGGAGAACTGCACCAGGCAGAAGTCCGTGCTGACCGTCTGGTTGTTCATGGCCTCGGCTCGCCCATGCCTCCTGGGGGAAGGGATGCAGGAACACAAATAGGGCTCCAGAGGCTGCATTTGGGACCAGATCCTCTGCAGGAACTGTTTTCTAAACCCAGGCTCTTGGTCACTTGAGGGGGTGGGCACAGGCCCCTAATGCTCTCAAGCTGTTTCTGCACAGAGAGGGCGGGACAGGGGCTCCCCCAGGAGTGACCCTGGGCCCGGGTCATGCCCCATCGCGTGGCACCACCTGCGCACAGACGCTGCACAGCTCTGCACTCCTCGGGTCCCTCCTGCTCCTCTGACTATAGGAAAACCAAGCACTGTGCACCAGTCACAGACTGCAGGACGTTTCCTTTGTAGGAAGAGGTTATAACTGTAAATTCTGAGGGTGTGTCTGAGGGCAGTACCAATCTGAAAATGAGCAAGAACAAAGGGCAACTACGTATTATGCAAAGTTCAGTCTGATCAAAGTCTAAGATAAGAAAACGGCTCTGTATGAGACTACGATAATCAGTTCAGGGCTGGAGTGACCGTACAACTTGGAGGGTGCTGGTCTTAAATGCGACTACCCAAACTCGATCTCCGGCACCCCATAGGGTATCCTGAGCCCAGCCAGAAGTGATCCCTGAGCACAGAGCCTGGAATAGGTACTGAGCACTGCTGGGTGCTTTCTGAAGCCCCTTTCCCCCACCACAATAACCAATTTAGTCTTTGCTCCCGTGCAACAAGGGCAAAATCAGTAGCTGGAAAGAGAAGATAAAGCAAAAGGTATGCTTGGAAATGGAACTAAGCAGGAGACGGGATGCAGAAAGGAAAGCTGACCAGGCAGGTCTGCCTTTACTCTCGGATTCACCCACCCTCCCCGTGATCAGCTCCCACCGGCAGAGGGCCTTCTGGGAGGGACAAGCCGTCAGCGTGAGGAAGGAAGTGGCACATCCAGGCATAGCTATGGTGGCAAGCTCATGCGGGGAAGGCCAGGAGGTTCCATCTGCGGAATGAGAGTGGTTTTGGGAGCGGTGGGCAGCTCGGAAGCTCCACCCCACCTTCTGAAAGGAGCCAGAGGAGGGTGGGTGCGCAGGTTCAGGATGCTGCCCAGGTCACAGCCTTATCCCTCTCCTCGGAAGCAAAACCACATGGACCCCTCACTTTCATCCCAGAAGTGCTCAATCCCCCCAGGGCAGAGATTCAGGGATGGCGGCAGCGTGGACAAAGATGTCACAGTTCCCAAGTCTCCTCAAATCCGGGAGAAAGCCAACATGCTCGCATCACCTCCCCTGGTGGTCGGTTTCTCGAGGGCCAGATGAAGGCAACATCATTTGGGACTCAGTGCCCACCATTACACTGTTGATGTCTGTGACCCCTTATTGGCTGGGTTTGGACAGAGGAGCCCCAGGTGAGAAGGGCAGGTAGGAAGACAAATGCATGAGGCCGGGACAAGGGACTGAGACAGGGGGCTTCCTGCATCCCCCTCAGTGTTCCCCAGGCAGGGTCTTTCTGCCTTGGGCTGACTCAGGAGAGACCTGCTGCTCTTGTGGGGAATTACCCTGAGTTGGAATGAGCCGAGAGTCTGTGAGCCATCGGACACTCCTGGGCTCGGGGCGAGGGGATTGACACATGCTGGGCTGAGCACTGGCAGTGACCTGGGCTGTAATCTCAGCAGAGGCCGCGACCCAGGCATAAGCTGTCCCAGCTCCCGCACCCAGCTTGTGGCCACGGGACAGAAGTTTCCCTTGTGTCACCCCAGCTGTGTGTATGAGATGGAGAGTAATGGCCAGAGTGTCCGCTGACATGTCTGCCTGGACGTCGGGCTTCATCCATGTCACAAACGGTCTCTATCAGGGAGGTCGATGGGGCAGCCCAGGGACGGATTCAAAGTGAATTTAAGACAAGGAGGAGGGGGATTCTCCAGCAGAGAGGCTACCTGAGGACCTGGCCACCAGGAACAGTGGACAGTGAGAGATAGAACTCTTACTGGCTGACTCAGTGACTGGTGTGGGTCAGCCACAGGGTTGTCTGTTCCGAGGGCCATGCCCCAGACTGGAATCCCTTCTCCCCAGGCTTGCCCAAGGGAGCGCCTGGCCAGTGGGGGAGTCCATCCTGAAGACCAGCCCCTCCAACTGTGGTACCCTCTGGGGGATCTGAGGAGGCACCGGTGTCTATGTGCTGGTGCCCCCTGGCCCAGAAACTCAGCCCCCACATGCTCGCTCACCTGCGGACAGCAGAGCACACAGTCAGGTGGGGAGTGCGCCTCAGCCAAGCTACTTCTTGAGAGCCGTGGGTGTGTGTGGAAGGCCCCAGAGCTGGACTCGTCCCCATGGGCTGGATGTACCTGTCTGCATGCGGCGGAGCTTTATGGAACGCTGAGAGGGCAGGGTGAAGCTCTCAGGGGACTGGGGAGGAGTTCAGGCGGCTCTGCAGGAGTTCCAGGGTCATGCTGCCGCCCAGCCCCCTCTGGTCTTGCCAGCATAATGTGGGAAGCCCCCCGGGTCTCATCAGATGACAAGGACGCACGCGCATGCCACCCTCAGTGGACACAACCGCCAGTTCTCCCAGAGCTGCAGCCTGGCTTCATTTCTATTGCCCAGAAGCAGTGAGAAAACAGCCTCCCATCTTCCCTAATGTGTCCACTTGGGAGACCCAGGAAGCGGGGGAACGAGGGTCCCCAGCGCCATGTGACCTTCCCCGAGTTTTGCATTTAACTCCCTTTCCCTGAGTGTCCCCCACCAACGAGAGTGGCATCTCAGGCGCCTGCTGGGCGTGATGGATGAAGGCAACCACGCTGAGCGCTCGGCAGATGCGAAGAGACAGTACGCCTCTTCCAGCAAAGGTCCCAGAGCCCAGTGGGATGAGACTCAGTCACGCAGCCGCCACGCGTGCGAGTCCGTGGCAAACACCCACGGAGCTGGAGGCAGTTGTGGCAGCCAGCCACAAGGGCACGCCCCTCTGGGCTTCAAGGTCCAGGTGGAGGCTTTGTTGAGAAAGGACATGCTTGGTGACCCGCCAGGCCACACTAAACCAACACAGCAATGCATGCCCACACACTGGTGCCAAGCCAGACAGTTGCAGCACATCAGCAGAACATCTATGAACAGGACAGCAGAGCCCCTGGCGGTCAGTAGCACTGAGCCAGAGTCCATGCCAGGGTCACAGTGAGCGAGAGCAAAGTGGAACCAAGTCCCCAGGTTCCAAGAAGGATTGTGAACAACATGTGAATCCCGTGCTAGAAGACACACTCAGAGGAGGAACAGCTCCCAGGCCTGGGGCTCCTCCCTCCTGAACACTCCACGGCCCTGGCCCAGTGGCCCTGAACAGTCCCTGTGTCCCTGCCAAGGACAGACGCAGGCGCGGGGCCTGCTTCCTTGTCCCCTGCTGAGGCTGTCTCTGGCCTGGGGCTGCTCTCCCCATACCCTGCAAAATCCTCCTCCAGTGGCCAGGGTGGGCTGTGGGGCCTCTGCTGCCGCACGTGGTACCTCCTTTACCGTGGAGACCCTGCAGAGCCACGTCGAGGCCAGCCCTGAGTGCAAGAAGCAGATGCTACAAGACATGGCTGTGTGCCACCCTGGCCAGCATCTCAGGCGTGCCCGTGCCCCTTCAGCCAGCATCTCAGCTGTGCCTGTGCCACCACAGCCACTGCCACAGGAGAAGCAACCCAGGAAGCAAACAAATGAGAGCAGAGAGAAAGCACACATGGATGAGTCTGGCATGTGTGACCTAAGGCACGGAGGCCCAGCAGTGGTGGCACAAAGCCACTTAGCAGCTCACTCAGGGCAGGAAATTCCAGCAACGAGAACTCAACACGATCTTTAAAACGACACAACAATTCAGTGCCATAGAACTCCAACAAAAAGAGAGAAATAGCTTCTTATTTTACTTGTAATAAAGAGCAAATGAAAATGAAAGTGGGTGTAAAATTCTGATCACTGTGAACACCTGGAAGCCTGAGAGCAGTGATTGGGGTCACTGCTTTCCTCAACACCCCTCTGCTTTCTAAGGATTTGGCTTTAAGCCCTTTGATACAGTTTGTTCTCCACACCTGCTGAAGTCTGGGGCAGGGGGTCGACTTACTGTTGGCAGAACCTGATGGTCGTGTTGGGGCCCACAATCCCGTTCCTACCCAGCACCCAGCAAAGAGGCTGCCTCCTGCCTACCCACCCAGTGGCACCATCCCCACTGAGCCATGGGCACGAGCTCTCAGGGCTCTGTGCTGGGACTGCCCGGCCAGCCCCCTCAACCCACCACAGCGCCAGAGCTTGGAGGTTGCCAGGCCCCAGCATGCAGTGTCTACGGGCTCTGGGAAGTGGTTGGGATCATGAGCCTCTCACGGGCACGCTGACATGGGCCTCCTCCTACCGTCCATGAGGGAGCCGAGTGTCCCTCGAACATGGAATTAAGCTTTCCAGGCACGCGCTCACAGCCTTCCCTCGCAGAACCGAATGTGGCTGAGTCTCCACAGCAGCCTTCCCAAAGCCGCCTTTATCTCCTTGTTCCTCAGACTGTAGATGAGGGGGTTCAGTGACGGGGGCAGCACAGAGTAGAATGCGGACACCAGGAGGTCAAGCAGCCCCGGGGAGTCAGGCACCGGCTTCAGGTAGGCGGCCGTGCCTGTGACAATGAAGGTGGTGATGACGGTGAGGTGGGGGATGCAGGTGGAGAAGGCCTTGGAGCGGCCCTGCAGTGACGGGATCCGCATCACCGCGTTGAAGATGCTGACATAGGAGAAGCCGACAGACACAAAGCAGAAGAGCGCATACACAACCCCGGCCGCCACGCTGATGCTGATGGCCATGTGGTCAGCCGAGCAGGAGATCTTTAGCAGGGCCGGGACGTCACAGAAGAACTGGGGGACCCTCCTAGAGCCGCAGAAAGACAGGGAGAAGGTGCCGCCCGCGTACAGGCTCCCGAACAGGCCCCCCAGGCCCCAGGAGGCCACGGCAAAGCGCACGCACAGGGCCCTGCCCATGATGATCTCATAGTGCAGCGGGTGGCAGATGGCCACGTAGCGGTCG